GCCTCCCTCTCCTCCGCCTCCCTCTCCTCCGCCTCCCTCCCCACCACCCCCACCACCCCCATCCCCCTCTCCTCCTCGTCCTCCGCAGGGCAGGGTGTTCCCTCCGAGACGGCGCGGCTACTCGGCTTGCCGGCGGCGCGCGGGCGGCCGACGTGCTACAAGCTCGTCGCGCACGTCCCCTCGGCGAGGCTCGGCGCGCAGCTCGGGCTGCGGCCCGGATTCTACTCCATGGACGGCCGCATCGAGTTTCGTCTCGGCCGCACGAGCAGCACCGAGGGCGAGCGCGCGGCTGGCCGCGGCGGCGAGGATGGGTGCGGAGGCTTCTTCATCTGGAGCAGCGTCGCGTCCGCCCTGGCCGCCGCCTTCTCGCCCGGCGGCCGTCGCACCTGCGGGCCGCCGCCCACCCGTCCCTCGCACGACGCCAGCCCCTTGCTGAGGGAGTAGGTGCGCGGCTCTTCGAGGCGCCGCGCGCACTGCTGCGCGTGTACGCCGCCGGCGCCGCTTGCCCCGTGCGCCCGGACGCACGCTTTGCCGCGGCGGTGGACGAGCGAAAGTGCGTCCCGCTCGTCACGCCCGTGGCGGTGGTGGCGAAGGGCAAGACTCTCTTGGCTCTGTACTCGCGGTTCCTCGAGCAGGGCGGGCCGCTGAAGCCCTCCCGGGACGCTCAGGCTTTGGGAGGGGGAGTAAATAACGAGTAAATTCTCTGTCTCAGACCCAGTGTCCATGCGCGCGAAAAAACCCCGAAAAATCACAGTGATGCACGATGCAGCCGCTGAGGGCCGAGGGTCCGCGCCGGGGCCCGGGGTCGCGTCCATCAACCAACCGATGCGCCTAGGCCTAGGGGTCATATAGCTCAATGACCACGGGTGCATCGCCAGCCGGCACCGCCTGGCAGAGGATGATGTCGCCCGGCTCGGCCTCCGCGACCGGCTCCTCTTTGAAGTCCACCTCGGAGGCGGGCGAGAGGGTGAGTGAGCGATCGGGGGAGAGGTGTGCCGGCGAGGATTAGACTGAAAGGGTGGGTGTGCGGGAGGGCGAGAGCCGGTGATGAGAGATAGCGGCGCGGCTGGTGCAGGTCGTCACCTCGCCCGAGACGAGGCGCGCGGCGCACATGCCGCACACGCCCGCACGGCAGGTGAAGGGCGGGTCGAGGCCCGCCTCCAGTGCAGTGTCGAGCAGCGTTCCTGCAGTCCCCTGCGTGGCGCGCCACTCGGTCGAGACGTACGTGCCCTCGAACGACACTGGGTGCCCCGGCTCGC